ATTTCTTTGATTTATTTTATTCTTTCTTTATTTATTTACCCTTTATTGAGATAATATCTGTAGATATTGGCACAGGCTTTAGAAACCTTTGTCATTATTGAAAGTTATAGTCTAATTCTCTCTCATTACCTTTTATTATTTCAGTCTCTCCCAACCCTATATCATTAAGATGAATCAAAGTGAAAACCCACTTACCGATTCACCGTAACACTATTTTTGAATTATTATTAACTTTTAAGCTAAATATATATTTATAATCTTGAAATATTATTAAAATATTACAGAAATATTACTGAACTGTAATTGAATTCATAATTAATATACTAATTAAATTATTTAAAATCATATATTTTCTAAAAATTAACTAATTAACTAAAAATTTATAATTTAAAAAATTATAAAATTAAAGAAATTTATATTACTATAATAATAATATACTTCAAATAATAAAATTATAAGTTATAAATTAAATTTATTCATATTATATTTTATTTTATTTATAACTATTAACAAAATAATTTTATAATTATAAATAAAATTTGAATTAAAAGAATGAAGAGTATATCTAATTATAATTACTTAATTGATTTATATAATATATGAAAATATTCAAAATTTATCAAAATTACAATTATTAATAAAGTAATTAAGAATTATAATCTTCTAGTGATTATTAATATTATCTGAAAAGAAATTAAGTAATTATATAAAGATTTAAATATTAAGTATTTTAAAATTCAAGAAATTATTAATATTAAATTTAAACTTATTAATTTAATAAATATCTATCTTATTGACAAAATTAATTTAAGACTAAATATTTAAAAAATACAAATAAATTTCTTATTAAAAACAATTATTAGTTTGAGAAGTTTACTGTTTAAAAATCTCAAGATTTTTACTTTACAAATTTAGAATAATTAAAGAATTTGATATATTATGAATAATTAATTCTAATTGATTTAACTTATAATATTAACAAGTATAACTAGTACTTATTTATCTTATATATTTATAATAATTATAATTATTAGAATATTAATAGATATTTTTTGTTAATAGAAAGAATAACAAAATAGTTACATAATATTAAAGATTATTTAAATATTTATTTTTTATTAATATCTATAATATATACTTCTTGATCAGAATAATATAAAAGTAAATAATATTATAATTGAACTTTATACAGAAAAATAAGAATATAATATAATACTTTATATAATATATATTATATAAATATAAATAAAAAATATCTATCATAATCTAAGACTTAAAAAAAATAATATATAAATTAATTCAAATTAATTGTAAGAAGCTTGTTAAGAATATAATAATTAACTATTTTATTCAAGTAAATATCAAGTATATTACTTAAAATTATTTTAAAAACTTAAAAAAATAGATATTTTGAGTTTAATAATATTTTCTTTAAATAATTTTAATAAATTTTCTTAAATCTTATTATAATAAACTTAAAATAAAAACTTCTTATATATATAGTCTTATTGATAAAGAATTTTATTATTAATATTAATATTTTATTATTCAGTTATTATTTTTTTTATTTTTATATTATCTTTTGTATTATAATAATAGATATAAGTAATTGATATCTTATTATTTTTCAAAATTATAATATAATAGTATTTTATTTTTTTTTAAGAAAGAATAATATCAATGCTAATTAGTATTATTATTTTAAGTTAGTAAACCTATTTTAAAGAGACTGAACAATAATTAGATTTTTGTATTACTAAAAAATATTTTTTGCACTATACAAATAATATGAAATAATTTTTTTATATCAATATTTAAAGAGATTAAAACTGAATCTTGAAAAATAACTTCTTATATTAACTATAGTAAATTTACAGTAATTTATTGAATTAAAAGATATTAAGAGAATAAAGATTTAAGTGATCAAAAAAAGTCAGATCAGAAATATAGTACAAGTATAATACAAGATAAAAAAATTATAACTTAGATAGAGAATGAATATAATATAATAGTTAGTAAAATATAGTAATAACTTAAGTATCAAGATATCAAAGTTAATAAATAAATAGTTAGATAATATCTTATTATATCAAGAGTAAAATATTTAAATAAACTTTAATAACTATTACTTATCAAGAAGTATAAAAAAAACTAATATAAACAAGATAATATCAAGACTTTAACTAGAATCAGATTATTTTTTATTACAAAGATTTAATTAACTAGTTTTTTTTAAAAGAAATCTTAATGTTAAATATATATATACTATTTATAAGAAAGATTTCTTAGCTTCTGTTAAGTTTTTTGATAATGATAATATAGATTAAATTTTGTAAAAGGATAATAATTTGAAATATTGATTGAAAATTTACAAGAAGAAAATAATGTGAAGATACTTTCTTGATTATTAATATCATCTAATTAAAATTCTATTGAAAATATATAATAGCTTTTAAAAATTAAAATATCAAAAAAAAATTCAAATTATCCAAGAGTTAAGAGAAAAAATAAGAAAAAAATGAAATAAACTTTTAACAGAACTTATTATTAATTTGATTAATAGTATATAATACAAAATTATAATACTATTAAAAGTTAATAATAACTATATTATATATTAAATATTAGAATTTGTTTTCTGCTTTGTAATAAAAATAAATTTTTATTTTATTTTATTCTTTAAAAAATAGCAAAAGATTAGTTACTTATGTATTTATTATATTATTAGATATATATTATATAATTTTAGAAGTTAATGACAAGAAAAAAATAATTATAAAAAAGTTATCATTACTTTTATATCAAAATAATCTCTATCACCAATATAAGATTCAAGATTCTTATTAAAATTCACAAGTTTTCTTTTTTATTCAAAAACTTATTGCAGAAAAAGTATATATTATTTTAAAAAAATTATAAGAGAAAAAAAAATGTCAGATTTTATGATTGTAAAATATAGCTGCAGATTTTTCAACTGATATATACTATCTTGTTATTATATTTTACATAAATAATTTTGTAATAATATTAATATACTAATGTTAAAGATATGAAGAAATTTTTAAGAAGCTTTTAAGAAAAATGATTTGAAGATATATCAGTCTTATAAATTGATAAATATTATTCAATATTAAGTTAAAGTTAAGAAAGTTATGAAAAAAATTGATTATCAATGAATGAATTATTTGAAAGAGCAAGAGATCAATATTATAGATTGGTAAACAAAGAAAATATAAAGAAAATAATAAAATTTGTTAAATATTTAAAAAGTGTTTTAGAATCTATTCTTGAGTAGAATTTAATAAGATTTGGAATCTGATTTTTATAAAGAAAAGAGAATGAAAATGATGTAATAAAAATACTACAGAATGATACAAGATAAACAAAATAATAAAATGACTTTAAATATTAATCACGCGAATTAATTTAGCGTAATGCTTGTATTTTGATAATTCTGGTCAGATTATTAAATATCATAGTGCTGGCCATAATTTTTATCACGTGTTGACGATCAAAAATGTCTAATCACGTGATAGGCTTACATTGCTTTAAGAATCCCCTAAAAATAGAAACTAGTTGATCTCAAAATTCTTAAGATTTATGTGTATTCGCACCCCTCCGGGCCTAGATTTAAGCACTATACAGAGATGCGAAATCTATATTTCATTTTGCACTAGATTATAACAAAAATTAAATTATTGTAAAAACATTATAATATATATGAGACACGGTAAAATGATACTTTAATAAAACTCAGAATCATTTTTCATTTATATCAAGGGTTGATTTGATTTTTTTTAAATAATATTTCTAAAGCCTTTACAAATAGATTTACTGTTGGAACAGCAAATATAATTGCTAGTCTATCTTCATGGTCGTCATTTCTTTTACTTCAAAATCATCAACACCAACAGAAGATTCACTAACCAAAGACTCGGTGTTATTTCGAGCCCAACACCAAATTTTTGCATCATCAGATATTCCAACTAACCACACATTATCCGCGGAAAAAGCTACCTGTCGAACAGCGGTATTGCTTTGATTCACCTCTAACATACGCATTATCATGTGGTCATTTTGGTTGATTTGTTCCAGTTTTTTTAATCGTTTACTGGGCCCAAGATTATTTTGATTACCATAATCTGTTCGTTTATTCGAGGAAGTTGTATTGGATGATTTTCCTTTGTCATTTTTATTCGTTTGACTTTTTACTTTTGAAGATGGTGAAAGAATTTCAAATTTGTTGTTGGTTTTTTGGGTGACGGATTTCGGGGTAGCACTATGATTATTGTTACGATCAATTGAGTTAATAGGCAAATTGACGATTGTTTCTTCTTGCGCCTCTGCCTCTTCTTCCTCTTCCTCATAACTTTTTCGGTCTCTCTTTGATTTGGATAATCTAGTATTAGGAGTTGAGGATGTAGGCGTCTTTTTCAAAACACCACCACCACCACCACCACCACCACCACCACTACCACCACCACTACCACCACCACTGTTCCCATCCACGATTACTACATTCTTACTATTACTTCTTGTGACGATACTTGATTTTGAAGTGGTTTGTGATCTTACGTTTCCGCCGTACGCAGTTTTTTTCTTGTCTTTTATGTACTGTTCGATGTAGAATGGTATTGCTTTCTGCAAATCGTAGATGTAAATTCTACCTATTTGATTGCCCATAGCCAGTAATTTATGATCTGAGGATACCCCGCATCTGATAAACCAAATATCGCAACTTTGGAATGGAAATTCACAGATTATGTCGAATTTTGTGGGTCGCTATTGCGAAAAAAGCAGAATAATACGATCAAATAAAGAAACAGTAAATTCAACAAGTCAATAAAATTGTAATAATTTTAAATACTTTGCTTTCAATTGCTGGACCTCCGGCAACAGGAGTTTTTCCTAACCACGCTGCTCGAATGTCATCATCATCAATATTATCAATAACGTTACTACCATTATTCTTATTACCATCACAATTGTTATGTCCAATCGCAGGGGACAAGCTAACATCACAAGCTTTCCACATGATAATTCGCGTCTCGGTTGCACACCTCGACATCAACATATCACCATACCATCGTATACAGTCAACGTAATTATTGTGTAAGTCGATAGTTGAAAACAGTGGAAAATGGACAAAAATGGGTAACCGAGCGGGTTTATTAGGACCCGCACAAAAGCACGTCTGTATGTGATGAAGTCGCTTTTGGCATCGTACCGGCAATGATGTCAATGTCGAGGTCGATGGTTGTGTTTGGGATGTGAATGATGCCTGGATTGCATTTTTTAGAAGTGGAGAGCATAATGACCATATTTTTGCGGAATGATCCATCGCGGCAGAGGCGAAATAGTCGCCGGATAAGTGAAAATCCTATTATCCTCGATATTTGATAAAAAATATTAGAATAATTATAATAGTTCATAAAAACGAAACTTTTCATAGGTTTCGACATACAATACTTAATACAGGCTCACGATGCCCACATTCACCTCCAAACACGGCAATTACACGTTCGGTTTTTATATTCCATAATCGTATGGAAAAATCTTTACTGGCTGAAAGTAAAAGACAAGGTGATAATGGGTGAAATTTTAATTCATTTATTTCCTAAAAAAAAAAATAGATAGGATCACAAAAATTGCATTTCAATCCAAGTTTTTTAAATGGAGTAAAAGTTGAAGAAAAAGAAAGGACATACATACATCTCCATGTCCGGCAAGAACCTAGATATTAAAGAAATGTATTTCAGATACGCGAAAAAATCCTTGATCAAGAGCAATAAAAAATTAAAATGATAGTAGGTCTCACTTTCACCAGAGATTTCTTGCTAGTATCGATTACTTTTATTAGACCGGAAGCACCAGCCACCGCTAACAAAGGTAGTCCAGTTGTTAGGTCATAAGACCATGTACAGCAGTAGAAATTTTCTTGATCCTGCAGAGAATGAATATCGATTATTGATATCCTAAATATAGCGATATGACCAATGTGACTGGATATAATGACTACATAAGTAGGTTTCAACGAACTACAGAATCCTTCGGATAAGAACGATTCTTTATCACCGTTATATCCGGTCACACTATTTATACATGAAATCTATACATTTTCATCCTCGTATACTTGCAATATGTTAACACCGTCTCCCGGACAATTTTCAGAAGATAAAGTTTGGCTCAATTTGATAATTATGATCTGCACATTATAAATCGAAAGAAAATGTCTTAGAGAAAATTGAACAAAGTGCTAGCAAAGTCATGAATGATTTTTGAAAAGTATGCAAACCTTCAATCCACCAACAATAGCAAAAATAGCGTCGCCATTCGGGTCGTACTCGTTGAAACTTAACCCGTAAAGCGGCGCTTTCGAAGTCATTTCCTTTTGGATAATTTCGGAGAACAAAAGAAAACTTTAAAGATCTTGAAAGTTTGCTCGTTTTTAAATTATGTATGAATAGCCTTTATATAATTACCGAAATAACATGTCGTATCTCATATTTCAAACAATCCGTCATGCTTGTTACTATTTGTTATGGGTAAATACGCGTTCTAAGTAAAAAACGTGATAGTAGAAGAACGCGGTTAATAAAATGTACTCACATTTTTTACTGTGATCAATATTAATACAGTGCATAATGCCCAAACAAACCTATCGCTATATATATATTTTTTTTGTGTAAAAAAATTATATACTATCTATACATTTCAAACAAGTAATAAATAAAAATAAATACAACAAATACTCTATTTATATATATATGTATTTATATAGAATTTATGATAATTTACATTGTCCGTCATCCTGAGTAACAAATTCACTTTTACCAATACCGACAATACTACTATTATTGTTGTTACCATTCCAATCCATATCCTCAACAACAGGTGGTCTCTCAAATGCGGCCAAAGAACGAAGCAGTCCAGCGGCTTCCCGTATTCGCGAATACTGAACACTGAACGCTTGTATCTCAATGAAATACTCGTTTATGTCAATTATGTTGTTGCTGATTAGTGATTGAAGGAAGAGACAAACCTATATCAACAATTAATAAATGTGTGTTAGTTAGAATCCTAATTTACTGATAATTACACGATAATTAACAAAATTCACACATAATAATTATGTGAATATGTTACGACTTACCAAACGAACTTGCCGATATTGAATATTTTGATTTTCGCTCTCGTCACACGCACGAATACAATTGGAAATATATTTGTGCAAAAACTCTGGAGGTAGTTGCCAAGCTGTTGCTAGTCGATTTACGACCTCCATCGAAGATCTCAATCTTGTTACAGCGTCGGTTGTATTAGAATCTCGAGACACGTTAATTGAGGAAACAAGTACTTGTAGGTATCTAAGTGTTTAGAAATGATGAGCTCTGAGGTATTTGTTTACATCATGGAAACAGAGAAAGATGTATACATCCGGAGAAAATTGACTCACTGTCCAATCCGATGAGACGACAATAAATGCAATAAAGCTTCAATTGCTATTCTAGGATTGTTTTCAATTAAATCGGGCAACATTTCAGGTGAAAGATTACAATGAAATACAAATTTAGCGTCCTTTTCGAATTGATTTAGCACAAACTAAAATTAAATTTTTCTCGTTAATTAGAGCCATTCGTCATAATCATTTGACTATGATAAGAAAGTGTAATCAAACGCATACCTGTTCTTCAGGTATAGTCAAAGCTCTATGTATAGCTTTTGTCATCAAGAATCGAGCTTCATCTCTATCAGAAAAATCTGCCAATATATTATAATCCCATTCCATCTCGGGAATAAATCCATGAGGATTGAGCCATTGAAGCTAATATTGGCATAAAATATATATTATTTAAGGCAAATCATGAGACAATGTGTCCATTATAAATTCACCTCGTGATGCATTATAGGCATAATTGGGGGAGCTGTTATAACCGCTCCTTCTTCACTTTTCATGTCATTAAGAGCAGCCCATGATGAAGGTTTAGAGATTTCTTGTCTATGAATAGCCGTTCAGTTAGATTGAGTTTAGGTAATGATATTTATCATACATACTTTATTTGATCATCCTTATTTGGTAATCGTACATCTAATTCGGTTTCAATATAGTATTCGAGTTTAGCGATATTAACTTCCTGATCGCCAAGAAACATTAAATTTTCTGCTATAGAGAATTGACGAAAAACATCCGATACTGTCTTCTTGCCCAACTAATTATTAGAGAATTATCGTTAATTCATAATTCACAATTGTATGTGTGTTCAAAATCGACAACGAAACAAACGAAAGTACCTTTGCACCGTTATCAGTCAAAATCAACTTCCCAACACGAAATTCGACAAGGAGCTCGTGATTGGTTTTCAAATAAGAGTAATTCGAAGAAAGGGTTTTGTAGATATTGAGAAATAACAAGAGGAACGGATTTTGATGGATGGGGACGACATTGTACAAATTGTACAAAATGTAAAGAGCTACGACGCGTGCTTTTGCCTATGTAAATAGTGTTCCCACGAAAAGAGTCCATACATACACACACATCAACAATCAACACTACTCTTCGGCAAAATAACACGGGCGAAATACGATAAGATTTCGAGAGAAAGCAAATGAGATATATATATTTGGATACTACGACAATTCAACCTGCAAGTCGCCACTTTCCAACCAGGCCATCAACGCGCAAGCGGCCCCAAACCTTTTGTGCTCAGGAACGAGGGTTTTGAACTCTGAAGCGATGTTTTCAAATGTCTCGTTGACCATATATAGGAGATTCTGGAACGCGGCAAACTCCTCCATTGCTGTTGAAGTTGTGGTTTTCAGGAAATTAGACGGTTGAACTAGAATTCATCGGTTTAGCACGTGCCACAAATTATAATTTTGTAATACGGTTCACTAATTAGTCAATGAAGGGATGTAATTGGTATTTTTCACCTAAGATCATTGTATTCGACCAATTCGTAAATTTTACACAATCGCAATGCAAAGTTCGCGTAATGCAATCGACATTAGCAGTGCTTCGGTATGAATTTATCCTAAGGTTAAGAAATGAAATAAGATATTCAGTTTCAGTTTTCATTTTCATAGAATGTATGTTTGATTTGAACTTTTTCGGTTTTGAACAGGTAGTTGATCTCAAAGCAGAACTTTTTAAACAAAAAGAAGAATTCAAACAACAAAAGGCTGCAGCGGGTGATAAACCAATATCTGCAGCATCTCGATTACGAGGAAAGGTTAGCTGCTATATTTTTCTTTATTCTCGCCTTACTTAAATATTTAATGTATCTAAAGAACGGACATATCTCAGAAATTGGGAGCATGGGCTCAAAATAAAGGAGTTAGCGAAAGGGCTAAGCGTGATCAAGCTGCTCTCGATGAAGATGGAGAACCAACTCTTGAAGCGAGTCGAATAGCATTAGAGAAAAAAGCAAAATTATATGACAAGTTGAAAAAGACAGGAATAGAAGGTATTGATTTTCAATCAATTTCTTGTTCAGTTGATCGCTTGAAGTTGGATTTCGTTTTTTCAATGCTAATTTTTTTATAGATGAAACACTTGCTGAAGAGATATTAGTTGATTTTGATCGTAAGGCATTTGAAGAAGTATCGGTAATTGAGACAGCCTATTTATTTATTTATTAATTAATTCAATTTAATTGATATTAATTCATGATAATTATAGGATGACAATGATAAAGATGAAAATGATAAACAAGACGAAAAAAATGAAGAAGATCCTTGGGTAGAATACGTTGATGAATTTGGACGTACGCGCGTAGCAAGGAAAAGTCAAGTCCCAAAAGAACCATCACCGCCACTGCCTTCTAGGTTCGTGTTAATTTTTATTTAATAGCAAAACCTATCATCAAATCATGTACTTTCAATGCTCTTTCTTGAATATTCGCAAATTAGTTAACTATTTTTAATACTAGTAGTAACAACATGTCACTAGAAGATGACAACGAGTATCAACCTACAATGATGTCGGCTGATATGTACATGGAGCAAGAACGGCTACGATGGGAAAAAGAAGCTTTAGAAGAGCTGAAGAGTATGTATAATATATTTATTATATGTGTATATTCTTTTTGAAGCCAATTTAATTTATTAACAATTTTTAATTTCTTGTCTTAGGAGGTCCTCAGCATTATGACGAGACTAAAGGTAGCTTTTCCGTTAACTTTTCTTTCTACAGTCATACATACCTCGATATAGTGACACTTTGTTTCCTGACCCTGTGATTATAACGAGGTGTGTCTCTATATATTCGATTAAATAAATGCAGAAAAAGAACATTGATAATTGTTTCTAATAAAACAAACAAAAAAAAATAGAAATTCGAACAAAGGGTGTGGGGTTCTACCGGTTTTCAAAGGACGAACAAGAGCGTCAGGAGCAAATGCGTGCATTGAAAGAGATGCGAAATGAGGTTTGCACTTTTTCCTTTCAAAATTCTAATTTAATATTTTTTGTATATCTGGTGAAAACAACACAGAGATATTTGTATAACATCAAAAAACCATGATTTACTATTTAGACTCTACAAAAACGAGCCCTCAAACAAAATATCAAGGACAAACGAAAATTACAACTAGAAGCACGAATGGCGTTAGTTCGCGCCAAGAAATTAAAAACTACCGAAGCCTCGAGTAGCACTACCACCGTTATATCTGAAACGTCAGCTGATAATATTGTTAATAAATTATTACATTCCTCTTCCCCGACGATTTCAAATGATAATATGGTCCTGTTGCAAACCTCAGCAGAATCAGAGGTTTATGAAGAAGATAATGAAAAGGCTGTTATCGATTTATTAGCGAGTATAAGAAAGCAGGTAGTGCAAAAGAAATAACGACAGTAAAGAATCTCGCTAATAATTGATTGGAAGGGATGGTGAGATTTTCTATTGTTTTGAAAATTTATGATTATTCCTGATCACCAGGCCAAACAACCAAAACTTGTAAGAGGTGTATTTTGCAAGATAAATATCTCGCGTTGATGCTGGTGCATGCAACATATAATCGACAGTTTAATCTTCCGATTTTCCGTAATATAAAACATCTTGAACAAAATTTTAAATCTTAAAATTTCTACCTTCAACCATCAATATCACACTGACTCCTGTTTCCCACTATCTGTTTCTTTACTACTGCTATGATGTAATTGAAGTTTATTACTTTCATTATACTCCATCACCTTTTCCACTCCGAGATAAACTATAAAAGCGGCAACTCCCCACGTGAACCCAGGTATCAACCGCATCAACTGGTACCGTGGAGAAAACATTTCGTGGTGCCGCCAAGCTTCACGACGTGCCCACGGGTCGTGATACTTCTTTGTGGGTATTTGGTTGTATTGTTTCCAGTGTGGTGTAGCTTTGGGTGAAGACATTATTCCTTAGACAGTCCCGTTTTAGTATGCAAATTGTTAACAATAAATTTTTTTTATAGGAATCTTCATGCAAAATTGGTTGACATACTTCTACTTCACAGCCGCAATATGGCAAGTGTGGCACATGACATGTGATCCGAGTTAATTGTTTTTATTCTATCAATTGATTGGTAGTACTTGTTCGTTATTTCGTAAACACTAATCCGATCTTCGTTGAGTTGCTCTAAATCCTATCTTAGAAGGTAATTCCTAATCGCGTTACTTGCTGAAGGCTTACGTAGTCTCTCAGTGAACTACTAATTAATATGATTTGATTGGTTTATCCCTTAAAAATCACATGATCTGCCATTTTTCCTGGTACTATATTCTGTCGTTATAGAAATTATAGCATAATCCCGAAGAACAAATGAAAAAAATTGTGGACGCGTTCAATGATTAACGCATTTGATTACGTTCATGAAGTTCTATGAATTTAGTTGAGAACGAACTGTCGCCGTCATGCGGCACATACATTTAGGATATGTTAAGCGTTGACAAAATACATAAAATTTCCACTTAATTCAGTCAGTCTAATTTATTGCTTCATTCTGCTGTCTGATAGAAAGAGATGATTCTTCGGGAGACAAAAATAAATTGCTACCATTATTATTAGTTGTCGGGTCATTGGGGGTAGTTATTGGGCTCTGAGGATGTTGGTGTTGTTGGAGCAATTGTGATGTACGTTTACCATATAACAAAGTTTCTATATAGGGTAGTTAATGATTAATAATTATAATTTAATAATTCTAAATGTCGAAGAAAAAAAATTATACAAATGCACCTGGATCCGGTAAAGAATCGTCTTCTTCATCTTCAAATACGCTTTTAATCATAAGTTCTTTTTTCGCACTTGAAAAGGCGCTCTCGTCTTGATCTCCAGAAGAATTAGTACCTCTAGATGACGATGACGAAGATGAAGAGACTAGAACGCGTTCTCTTTGTTTAGAAAGCTTTTTAGGCGTTGTCGTTTGTGTGATAAGTAATGTAGATTCGTTTTGTTTAACTGCTGATGACGATGAAACAGGCGAAAGCTCTGGTAAATTATCAGCAACATCGGTAATGTGCTCGAATGGGTCAACTCCAGATTTTACAGCAATTGGAGTTTCGGATGAAAGTGATAATGATGGCAGCAGTTTTTTTTCTATCATCGGAGTATCAAATGATGTAGATTTAAGATTTTTTTTAGGGAAATTAATATTATTGATAATATTATTAATATTACTATCATTGTTTGATTTATCGATTAAATTCGGTTCGTTATCGTCATCAAAATCAAAGTCCCATTCATCCGCATAATCGGCATATGTGTTATCATCGATCCAGCTTGAATGAGCTATCGGAGGGTCAATGGTCGAGATAACCCGACTAGAAACAGAAGGCTTATTTAGATTATTGTTGTCGTCGTCGTCATCGTCGTCGATGCAAATAGCATTGTTTATGGAGGATCCATAAAATGGTTCTTTGTTCTCTTTCTTACTTGTACCAAAGATAGAAAAAAGATAGTCATCGTCCGTCGTCCTTCTCATAGAATTTCCAAAAGAATTCTCTTGGGGTTTACTTGCATGATTGTTACTGCTGTTGTTTTCGTGGCTTTCTTTTTTGACATCGTTTTTATTATCAATCAATTCTTGTTCTTTGCATAGTTGATTTGGATTATTCGAGGCGTGGTTGTCGTTAGCTGCTCTTGTTGCGAGTATATTATTTAACGAGTTGCCATAAGAATCCCTGAGAGTTTTACGTTCATTGAATAATGATTTTTCATTTGGATTATTATTGTTATTGTTAATATTATTTACAACTACAAAAGGATTATTATCCTGTCTTGCAAATGGCATATTACTACTGCTGCTCATAGAATTTCCATATAAATGTTCTGCTGTTATTTCATTGTCCGGTCTTACAATTGAATTGTTTATCGCTGAATTTTTAGGAGAGTTTTCAGGACTGCTAAAACTCACGTCATCTATGGGCCTTTTTTTCGCAGTACTAGATGATGATAATGATGTTGGATTGACAAAAGAAGCGTTCGGCCTTACAAATGACATGTCGGTGTTTGGGTAAGTTGGAGCCCAAGGATTAATATTATCGTTCGTCCTAGATGTATTAGCAGCATTAGTTATCGAATTCTCTTGTTTGTTGCCCAATGAATAGTATCCAAAAGAATTTATGAGTTGTGTATCTGCACCTATCCTCATTGATGAATTTGCAGTGACGGCAGCATCACCAATTCTCAATGGAGAATTAATCTTCATAGGCGAATGTGCAAAAGAGTCGTTAGGTGTTGTATTTGTTGCCGCCTTTCCAAATGAAGAAAAATTCGTGCTGGTGTTATATGGTAGCGGTGGTGCACCAGATCCTATAATATTTTCAAGAACTATATCATCAGCCAGTGTTGTTGCTAATGATGACCTTTGAATATTCCGATTTTCCAGTTGGGAAGTTGCTTGCGCATTAATTGGTGGAAAGAAATTTTGTGTTGCCGTTGTCAGGTTATTCCCGCCAGTTTCGATTATTGTAGCAGTACCGGTAATAGCGGTGTTTATATTACTTTGAGTAAGTGAAGCCACTTGTATCCTTGTCGATATTATTATGATTATTTTGACGCGAAATAATAAAAGCATACATAGAGGGAAATAGCTAATATTTCACATACCCTAATCTTTTGCACAACATTTCTTCCAATTCTTCAAGTGGTTTAGGTTCATCATCAATTCCACCAATAAATTTTACATTAGTAGAATCAAACAATAAGATGCCTTTAATCACTTTGACATTATGTACCATTATCTATTAGCAATCGTTCGTAATCATTTTAAAAATAAATGCCTATTTTATATAATAGCATAAAAAATTATTGGTTAGTTACCTTTGTACCCCTTGGCGTGTTCATACTTAACGATAAAAACTTTCCACCCTGTTCAATTTGCATTAACTTCACTTCCATCGCAGTAACAACTTGGTATCCATCAGTCAACGTCATTTTCAGGATAGCTCTCGGGAAAGAAATCATCGGATCATTCATATCATCCTCCTCTCTTTTTAACTCAACATACTTGTGTCCCTGAAGATAATACCCCTCGTCTGTCTGTTTTTTAATATTATACAATCTATGTGCGGCCGTGCCCACTTCCAAACATTCTTCGATTTCTAACACGAATCCTTGATGATTATCCGCTATCCATTTATTAGAGATCGCTTTAACGTTTGGTGGTAGCCGTGGAGTTGAGGAGTCGCATAAATGCGATTTTAGAAAGTGGAAGTATACCCATTTGAGAAGATCTTCTTGGTTTTGTTGATTATTTTCAAAATCTACAAGTAGGTCGGGTTGGTTTTGTCTTATTCTTTGGATGGTATCTGTTAGCCAGTCTTCTCGTAGGTATATGCCTCTTGGTTCCAATTGTGCTCTTATGAATGAAGGTATAACGTTTTCTTGCATTTTACTATTGTTATTGTCGGTAATTTATATTCAAAATTCTTGAGATTTAAACAGTTCAAATATATGAATTGAATTGTTGGTGTAATTCTGTTTACAATGCGGGACGAGATAATGTATCTCCTTTTAGCTTTTATTTAATAAATAATTTACAAAAATTAATAAAAATTATATAATTGATTAGTGCGTAAATTCATAAATTCAAACTCTAAGCCTTTGTATCCTAATTTACAAGATATGAACGCGTCCCACTATTTTTGTGCGAGTCTTTTCGTAGTTTGTCAAGAAATAGAATGATTTACATGCATTTAATTTCAAAATAGTGCCAAAATTAACAAGTTTTGATTGACAGTCGGAGTTTGTAATTTTTGTTAATAAAAGTGCTGTGGGCAGTGGGATGAAAGAAAGATGGTATATAAAGACCTTTAGGCAAATTCACCGGTGCCTTTAAGACCCACAAGCTACTGGGAACGAATCAGGTATTCCTGGTAGCGCGGTAAGCAATACGCAAATGTACAGTTAATCTTTTCGGTCGGCTTCATGGGAAGCACACGGCGGTGGATGCGGGGAGAGCATTTTACCACTCCCTTGCGCATGTTTGCTTTGCCTTCGGGCAAAATTCCTTGTGTTCGGGATGTTGTTCCCGACGGCGGATGTGCGATTGGAAGGAGCAGCCTGTTTACCTTCGGGTAAAGTCCCTTGGGGGTTGGTCCTCGGGGCTTGGGCGGGTCCGGAAAACGGGCGTGGGTCACCTGCTGAGGATACGTGTCACTCGGAAAGCGGATACATTATTTTTCGTGTTGCAAGGAAAGGGATGTCCGAATGTTCATTTTGTGAATACAAGAAAAAAACTCATTTTTACGCGAGTAAATATTTTAAACACGATGTATCTATGATCAATATTGATAGAGATGTAGAGGACTTTAATATTTTTTTATTTCATAATAATTATTCTATTCTAATCTAGGTCGTTTTGCAGTATCTTTACTATTAATATTTTTCTCTATTATTACATTACTGCTACTATTATGATTATTTGTAGTAGTGTCTATTTTTGTTTTTTCTACTTTTATATTGTTTCCTTCCGCCTCATTATTATTGTCATTATCATTTGTATCATTGGTGTTATTTGTAAAAGTTGATGAGCCTATTAAACTATTACTTTTACCACTACTACTGCTATTATTCAATTTCATATATGATGGTTTTGGACTTGGTAGGCTTTGATCTATTATAATTCGAGTAGTTGAAAGAATATATCCACCGCCTCCAGTCGTTGACATTTCTGGGTGTGTTCTGCCAGGTAATACCTATTATTCAATGAAAATTATTTAAACAGAGAATGATCATTAAATTGACAAAGTGGCAGGTGAATGAGAAATAGTAATAAAAAAATCTCACTTGGTAATCACGTAACCAGCTTTCAGTAATTTGAGGGTTTAAATAGTGTTTGGCTAGTCGCATTTGTACACATGTATTCACTAATACCTTTAATCAATAATAAATAAAGTAGTAAATCACTTTCATTCTTATTAATATTACGATATTTTTTCATCGTTAATTAGTACCAACCTCTTTATTGATATGATAAATAACGATAGGTCTTGATCCTGCAACATACTGCACCAAAGTTTCTAATATAGACTCTGGTTGATATTGACTAGCAACAATTAAACTATATATATATATATATTATTTTGTAAAAAATGAAAAAATCAATAATTGGATGATGAAATAGTGATAAAAGATAGAGATATATACACACCCATCAAATTCTCCATTAAGCAATAGTTGTTTCGTCTCTTTTAATTTATTATATACGGCTTTTCGTCGATTATACCCTTTCCGATCATTTTCGGATAGTGTTGTTTCGTCAACCTCGTTAAAAGGAACTAAATCACATAATTTCGTATATTAGATAGTCATCGGAACATTCTTAACAAATAGAAAAAAATTAGTATATTAAAATACTTACCTTCATCTTTCTCAAGAACTTGTTGCCATGAGAGAACTCTAAGTGAATCATTAGCCTTCGTCGAAAAGTTCATGTATCGAACTATATCGTAATTGTGATTTTCATTATCGTGTATTCCAAGCACGATTCCGTAACCTGATCGTATTTTTTAATTGATTAACATAATAATGACATGAAATAGTAGAACTCAAATAAATAAATAAATATAAATAAAAATACCGCCAAGCCTTTCCATTACTCCTGATATCACGAGACCTTGTGTATCATCCACCACTAAAATTTTAAGATTTGCATGGACATTTGCTAAACTAAGAATTTGTGAAAGTGTATCTATTCGCATTTCCCTATTGCATAGTTTTCACGAAATGAAAATTATAAGCAAAAATGTCAAGTTTAAATTCGCAAATATAAGATAAAGAATTCTTTAAATTTACCTTATTTTCCCAGGATTTTTTCTAAAAAAGTATTCCCAAACAGAATAAAGCGTAGGTTTTAACGGGGTAAAAATTCTAGAGAATCTAGAATAAATAAAAATTGATTTCTAATGTTCAAAACAAATTTGTTGTTGATTAAACTCATCAAATAAATTAAATTAATGTGATTAATCAATTACTTTGCTTCTTTCCTTTTGATATATTTTGCCTTTGAATATTCAGTTTTTTGTTCGAATGTCGAATGGCTTTCCACTACTTTTTTTATTATTTCCTTAAAAAAATTTTTTTACTTTATAGAGATGTAGAAAATTTACACAATTAACTGGAGTACAATTATATACATACTTGACCCTCCATCCCTTCTTTCTTTAATTTCTCAATATCAGTATATGATAATTTTTGTTTTGACGGATCATCCATGATATCGCGATTATTCGCGTCCGTCTCATCTTCATAACGAACAAGATTTAAAAAAATTAATGGACAACTCTTTCTCACCTTTTTTAAATAGCATCATTGATTGTTCAATCGATAATATTCACACGATCAAGCACAAATCATAACACAAAGAATTATTTTTAAGAATAACATAAACTCTAATTTCAATTTCCCTCACCAACTTTAGTATAAGCAATGTTCCTAATAACCTTTACTTTATCACCCTCATATATTTCATAAGAGTGACCGAAATGGCGACCTATTATGTCGTTCGAGTGAAAAGTGCCAAATTTCCCAAGTGATACCGTACTGACAAATTTAATTGTATATTAATGTAATTTATTTGACAAAAACAAATGGGTAAGAAGAATTCGGGAATACACACTCACGTATCCTTTTGTAATTTTACAACTTTAATGTTACCACTTGGCATTTGTATAAAGACATATTCGTTTTCGCGTATAAGTTCATCTTCCTCGTCTTGTTCAGAATTAACCTTGGTAACATTCTTTTTAAATGGAGTTTTATTTTTATCCGACACCGCTTCTTGGACAAGAACAATAGTCGAGTCTTCTGAGGTTGTCATTTTCGAGAAATTTCAACGACGATAATCATGAATAACTAAAAAAAATTGTATTTCTATTGGCCAATCAGGAAAAAAAAGTTTTCACTAAGATCTGAAAACCTATAAAAACCACACCATTTCAAATAGTCAAAGGTGGCGGTTCGATGTATATTCTTTACTTTCCACTCGTTGGAAGTATATGGGTGTACGTCTCGACACACGGAAGCACACAGTTTTTTGGTGGTGTATAGTTCCAGTCGACGAATCGCAGAACAAAATCGGGATTTTTGACCCGAACTCTCTTCGAGAGTTCGGTTGAACTTTCAGATACCACCTTATATTCCATTGTCGTTCCGTAATTTTGTTACTATGTAACTTTGACGGTAGGGAAAAACCATAAGGGGGACATCACTTGCTCTTTCATTTTATTGTTATTCACAATAGCCATTTATTAATTGGCCATATACTTTATTGATAATTAATATTTTTATAGAATTTATTGATTATAATTCTGAATCAATCCATAGCTAGTATTATTAAATATTATAATTTTAATTTTAAAGGAAGAATCAATGACATATAATAATAAAACATATCTATAATTATGTTTACCATCACACATTTTGTTAACGTCATTTTTATATTCGTGATTAAATTTGTAGTTATTATATGCGTGATTAAATTCTAAAAAATTTGTAGTTCATCGGTAAAGTTATAAGCATCCAATTCCGAATCAACCTGGCGCGACACGAAAAACGACGTATTCCCGCCTTTTTTTTAACGTTAAACAATTTAAATTTTTGCATTATACATTTTACAAGTTTCCAGCACTTTCCAGGTGACGCGTATTATCCTCAGCCGGTGACTCACGCCCTTTTTGGGACCCATGAGCGAACCCTCAAAGGACTTTACCCGAAGGTAAAACAGACTGCTCCTTCCAATCGCACATCCGCCGTCCGGGAACAACCAGGAACCACATCCGGAACCCTTGATGAAGCCGACCGAGAAGATTAACTATTTTTCGCATTTGCTTATCGTGCTACCGGGAATACCTGATTCGTTCCCGGTAGCTTGTGAGTCTTAAAGGCACCAGTGAATTTGCCTAAAGGTCATAGTTACTTCCTATATATCATCTTTCTTTCACCCCATTGCCCACAGTAATTGTTGTTGTTACTGTTGATCAAAAGTTACAAACTACGACTATTTTCGACCGAAATTAAGGACAATTTATCGTAGGAGAAAGATTTGATGCAGAGGATTGGAATAACGAGTTCATTGCTTTAATCATGCCACTCGTGTAGAATTTGTCAGGACATCGTAATCAACTTTTCAGACTTTGCTTTATAGATGAATGCTCTGCTGATCCAAGTTAGCAACTCCGGAGTGAGTTTACCATTTTAGGAAAGTATAGGAATTACATTATTTTGACTCTTGCGCACTCGAAAGCGTCGATCGACCTTTACAAGTAGTATGTTTAACCTGTTAAGGTGAATTGCATCGATTTAACTTTATAAGCATTTCAAATAACGTATTCTCCCAACTGAAATTTGATCTGTAAAAATGCGTGAACTTCACCAACTTCTCAAAGACGTTAAACTTCAATTGCACGAGCTAAAAGATGTTCACGAAACAATTTCAAAGCTTGCCGGAAAAGCTAATTTGGCGCCGACCAGCCTTGAATTCGCGCAGAACCTTGATAACCATGACGATTTATCACATTTACGTCAAGAATTTCAGATACCCAAAGTCCGGGATGTAGTGTCAAAAGGAATGGGTTAGTAAGGGTGAAATTAAATTCAATTTACTAAGATATAAGAGTAGATTAGTTATATAATGATCTTTGAAGTGCCTGAAAATGCAAACGAGGATGCTGTCTATATCGCTAGCAATTCGATTGGACTGTTGCCAAAGCATTCTCGGGAGTTAATTAACGAAGAGATTGACGTTTGGGCTACACGGTAATGATTTAAAGAAAGTAATTAAAATTTTAAAAGAATTATGGATTTATAACAAAAAATCGATCTTTAAAAGCGGAGGAATTGGTTTTTACGCACATCCTCATGATCGTCCATGGGACAGAATTGACGAAACTATAACACCCAAATTAGCAACATTAATCGGTAAGTAACAGTTTCACTTGGTTCATTTTTTTGACGTTAAATTTTCATTATCTTTAATAAAATATCACGCTTTATACTGTAGGTGCCAAGCCAACCGAAGTTGCAGTAAATAATGATCTCAAAACAAATTTAAATAATCTTTTGACTTCATTTTACACCCCCACCAAGGACCGATACAAAATCTTGATAGAACACAGGGCATTTCCGAATGATGTGGTAAGTCTACGCTGAGAATGGTGCAGCTATATTATCGGATTCTCCATGAAAAACTTGATGCTCAAACACATAATGTAAACAGATTTCTGTTGATGCTCAAATTAAATTTCACGGCTATGATCCTGCCGAGAGCATACTAAAAGTTGAACCAACACCGGGTCAAGTCATTGTCGAAAATTCAGATATTGTAGATTTGATAAACAAAGAGGGTAATAAGATTTCGGTCGTGTTTTTAGGTGCTGTGAATTACTACACTGGACAATTGCTTCATCTGGAAAAGATTGCTAAAGCAGCACATAAAAAGGTGAGATAAAGTTTTGATTTATTTGGATAAAATTTGTCCTTATTCATTGTTTTTAAATAATAATTTATATTATAAAGGGCTGCATTGTCATATTGGACCTTACGCATGCCATCGGAAACATCGTATTAAAGCTTCACGATTGGAAAGTGGATTGTGCTACATGGAGTTCTGAAAAGTATCTTAATGCTGGCCCGGGCTCAATCGGCGGTATATTTATTCACGAAAAATATTCTCGCGATTTTGATAATCCAAGGTAAAAAGCAACATCACTACCGATTTTTATTTTATTTGATGAAATATAATTAAAAATATATATGAAATTTTTTGTACATAGGTTTGCCGCTTTATGGGGATACAAAAAAGAAACACGACTAAGAATGGAGGAAGGTTAGTTATTTTAATAGTTAAATAATCAACAAATCAATTTTCAAAATAAGTTATATTAATCATTTCTTTTTGATCAAATTTTTTCTTAGCTTTCGACCAACCCTCGATCCTTTATGTAGCCTCATTATTGGGTAGTTTAGATGTGTTTGCAAAGACCAATTTATGGGATCTTCGCACGAAATCTATCCTTTTGACTGGTTACCTGGAATTTCTTCTTGACAAACTAATTGGTGGGGCTGGTTACGAAATGTTAACCCCAAGAGACACACGCCAACGCGGTGCACAAATTTCAATCAAGTTGGTTGCTCAAGATAAAAATTTGATAGTAATAAGAAAATTAGCGGATCGTGGCTTTGTCGTTGACGGAAGAAAATCGATGAGCATTGTAATGACGCCGGTACCATTGTATAATACTTTTACGGATGTTTGGAAATTGGTAAAGGCTTTAAAAGAAATTCTGGCGGAAATTCAATGATAAATATTTATTTTTTGACCAGATTTGAAATTTGGAAACTTTTATTTATTTAAATAAAATTTGTAAATAACCATTTGATGATGGTAGAAATATAGAACAGTTTTATATCACCATGATTCATCGCACTGGAAGACCTGGATAAAAAGACCGGTGAAAAACATTTATTATAGAGGGAAAGATTATTTTTTATTACAAGATTCTTTTTACTTTTCAATCAACGGCAAATTATATATAGTCACGTGTCTCGAAACATATCAGATATATTATCACATCAGGATACAGTACACATGTATCAATTCCGGGACTGGTATTTGTATCATGCATGATAATATAATACTTTGTATTAAATTTTCCTCTTCTCTCACAATATATAAGTAGTTTTTACTTGCA